CCAGCTGGACAAGACCAGCCTCCTGTGAACACACAGATCCTCCTGCTAAAAGCTTGCTCTGCTCTGAACACAAATGCTCATTACTCTGGGTCCCATTTCTACTTCAATGGAAACACAGAGAAGAACACGTTACACATCTTCGGGCTGCAACAGGCAAATTCGGAATGGGAAAACTGCCCAAGACGAATGACCGGGCCGGTGCTGTGGTACAGCGGGTTAACGCCCTGGCCTGAAGCGCCAGCATCCCACATGGGCGCCGGTTCTAGTCTCGGCTGCTCCTCTTCTGATCCAGCTCTCTGCTGTGGCCTGGGATAGCAGTGGAGGATGGCCCAAGTCCTTGGGCCCATGTGCCCACGCGGGAGACCCAGAGTAAACACCTGGCTCCTGGCTCCTGGCTTCAGATCGGTGCAGCTCTAGCCATTGCAGCCATCTGGGGAGTGAACCAGTGGATGGAAGACCTCTCTCTCTGTCTCTACCTCTCTCTGTAACTCTTTCAAATAAATAAAATAAATCTTTTATAAAAAAAAAAAAGACGAATGACCTAGATTCTGATAAAAGAAATTCTAGGAAAGAAAAAAGAGGGAGAAGAAGGCTCCATCGATTAAAAGGGGCTGAACAAATCTACCCACCCACTCAGTGGGCCCAGTGGGCATCCTGCCTCAAAAGAACCAGCTGTGGAGAAACAAGGCAGCTGGTAAACTTGAGCACTGAAAAGGTATTTGGCAATATTCAGGCATTATGATGAATCTTTATGAATGGGAAAACTATCGTGGCTAGGTTTATCCGAGAGTCCTTATCTCCCAGCAGTACAATACTGAAATATCGACAGATGAAATCATTTGACGCCTGAGTTTGCTTTAAAATCACCCAGGGAAGGAGCAGAAGGTGTGAGCAGGTACAAATACACTGCAAAGAAATCCCAGGGGTTACCACCTGCGGGAGCCAGGAGATGCACACATGGGGGCTCCTGGTAGCACTGCTTGGCAGCTCCCAGCCAGTGCAGCTGGGAAGACGGGATGCAAGAAAAAGATAACCAGTGCTACAAGCATCAAGGGGAGAAACGCCAAGGACATTAGGTAAATGTAAGGATCACTGGGCGGTGGAGAGTGGATTTTTCAAGGGCCAGAGTCCCCAGCATCTGCAGCTTGGAAGGCGAGCAGAATGGGGAGGTAGCAAGGCAACGGGCAGGCAAGCAGTGTAGACAGTGTACACAGCCACAGCAAGGCAGAGCCTGGTCTACCTGGGGACATACCCAGGTCTCCAGTCCCTCCAGCAGGGGGAGCCGTATGTACCACTTCCTGTTTCCAATGACCAGGACAAAGGTCATCAGTAAATGGACTGTTTAAGTTGTGGGAGGTAGGACAGGAGACAGAGAAGGGAGAATGAGACAAGGACAACACCTCGCGGCTTCCATGAAGGAGCGCAAATACAGGGGACAGGGTGGCCGGCCCCCTAGAGAGGGCACCACGGGGCAGAGGGTGAGCCTGCTCTGAGCTGGGCACGACCAGAACGCACGGTGATCGTGTGAGAGCCAAGACAGCAGCAAAGGCAACCCCACGGAGTCCATGACGCGTACGGGTGCAGAAGCCGCGGAGTCAGAGCGGTGCCCGGTTTAAAGTAGAAGAGGAACAGCCTCCAAGAGGAAGACACTCCAGGAAAAAAACAACTTCCTGTACACAAACATCAGCCTCCTTAATGGTGAATTTATGCGCAAACAATTCCTGGCCACGTTCACGGCGGTCTGCTTCCTTACACACCGTTTTCTTTCAAGACAGAACCGAGAGGCAAATATCAGTAATGGAAACACATCTTTCCCTCTAATTTTAATTTTCCGTTCACTCCATTTAAAAATTGCCGTAATGGCCATATGGACAAAGAGAGAGTGAGAATGAGCGAGCTGCCCGGCTGAAAGCCAGCAGCCAGCAGAAAAGACGATTTTCAAAGCAACCTCAATTAAGCTTACACTTACAGAAAATAGAGAGTGCAATGTTAATGTGATTCTCAGGCAGCATTTAAGGGAAAAAAAAATCTGCTATCTGCTTAACTTTGGCATCTGTGCCTCTCAAAGGAGAAGTCATCTTTTATCAGAAATCCACTTTAGGGTGGTTCTGGGGAAACACTCTTAGAAAATAAATAGCTCGAAGCTTTCTATGCATTGTGGAGGAGCTTCCTCCCCGGGATGATCAAAATAAATTAGGTTCTAATAGAATCAAAATATATTAGGTTATAATGCACCTGCAAATATTGAGGACCACACAGTGTTGACACAGCAGTCAGTCCAAGGTCTGCACTATACACTCGATGTGCTATATACAAACGGTATAATCCTCAGAGGAGATCCCACTGAGGACAAGGCAAATAACCGCCGACATATGAGTGACCATGTGTTCAGCCTCTTCGAGCTGGGAGACAAGGGACACATGGAGGCATTCCTATTCGGTTTCCAAAAAACAATGTACACGACACATACAACCTAGGGGCCATGTTCTCCATCCAATTTTTTCATTTCCATCAATAAAACCATGCACTTGTGATGTGCAGGGAAGGATGGGAGAGAAGTGAGAACTCAATACGGACAGCGGCACCCCAGGACAGAAGCACCCAGCTCTCCCTCCAGTAGCAGGTGTCCCCCTGGGCAGGAAAATGGCCTGCTCTTCCCCCAACACTGATGGGGCGTGGGGACCTGGGAGTCCCTTTGCCACTCTGTCCTGCCTCTGCCACGCTGTCCTGGAGGGAGGCATTGATGGGAAGATCTCACAGCATGGGAAAGATGCAGTAAACCCAGCATCAGCAAGGGCCGGCCGGGGAAACAAAGGTGAACAAACGAGACCCCAAGGGGCTCACTCACCATCATCCATGCTGGGGTCTTTTGGGTCTCCTGGAGGTGAGGACCACTGCTGGGGGACTGCTGGTGCCGAGAAGGGCCTCGGTGCTCTTGAGGGATCACGCAGGAGATACTGCAGCCCCGGGTCGCCCTCCCTGGAGGCCGCAGGGGGTCTCTGAGCAGTGTAGGCGCTGAGAGCCGCCATCAGGTGCTGTCTGTCCACACCGCTGTCCACCTTGGGAGTGAGCTCATCCGGCTGGAGTCGGCTGAAGGTGCGCAGTGGGAGGTCCTCAGGGTACTTGGCCCGGGGCACGGGAGGATAGGTCAGTGCAGATGTGTGGGCCACGTAGGTCAGGATGCTCTCAGGAAATGGGCCATCACCCTGAAGGGGCAGAGGAACAAAACAGCAACAGCTCAGGCTCCAAAGTCGGCCACACACAGTCGCACCTGGACAGCAGGCATCTGTGAAATGCAAACCCAAAACAGGAATCTCCGCTTTCCTACCAACGCCATACCAACTTTGCTATTCCAGCGTTATTATTGCATTGGTTTTCTGATAACAGCTTTCTTGTAACTCAGACGCCATGAAATTCACCCAACTCAGTGGTTTTTAGCATATCCAGAGTCATGCAAACACCACCACTATCTAATTCCAGAACAATTTCATCACCCTGAAAAGAGAACTTGGCACCCTTCTCATTCCTTTTTTTTTTTTTTTTTTTTTTGATAGGCAGAGTTGGTGAGAGAGAAAGAGACAGAGAGAAAGGTCTTCCTTTTTCCGTTGGTTCACCCCCCACCCAAGTGGCTGCTATGGCCGGTGCATTGGAGGACAGCGCACTGTGCCGATCCGAAGCCAGGAGCCAGGTGCTTCCTCCTGGTCTCCCTGCAGGTGCAGGGCCCAAGCACCTGGGCCATCCTCCACTGCCTTCCCAGGCCACAGCAGAGAGCTGGACTGGAAGAGCAGCAACCAACCGGGACAGAATCCAGCGCCCAGACCGGGACTAGAACCCGGGGTACTGGCGCCGCAGGTGGAGGATTAGCCTAGTGAGCTGTGGTGCCGGGCCCGTCTCATTCCTTACTGACTTCATTATCTGGAAGCCACTAACCTACCTTTTGTCTCTATGGATTTTCTTACTTTGGACACCTTATGTAATTGGGATCATACAATCCGTGGTCTTCTGTGTCTGGCTTATTTCACATAGCAGGTTCTCCAAGGACACCCTTGTGGTAGCAGGGATCAGAATTTCCTATCTATAGGTCAAATAATATTATTCCACGGTACATACAGCCCACACTTTGTGTATTCTTGATCAGTTTATACCCATTTTCGTGGTTTCCACGCCATGACCATTCGTGTATTAAATTGTTGACGGACATGTCTTCAATTCTCTTCGGTACATATCAGGCTATAAAATTGCTGGGACATAGGAGTCTGTATTTAACCTACCGACAGCCTGTTTTCCAGGATAGCTACACCATTTTCAAATCCCACCAGTAAAGTATGAGCAGCCCATTTTCTCCACCTCCTTGTCAACACTTGTTACTATCTGTCTTTTACTGCAGCCATTCTAGTGGTTGGGATGTGGTATCTCCTTGTAGTTTTGGTTTGTATTTCCCTGATGGCTGATGCTGTTGGGTATATTTTCTTGTGCTTTTTGGCCATTTATTTATCTTCTTGGGAAAGATCCATTTGTCTCCTCTGCCTGCATAGTGTTTACTGTAACTCCAAAAGGCAGCTTTCCCCATAATTCAATCTCTCCTTCAGTAGAGTCTCCAACAACTTTGTCTGCAGGTCTCTAATTTGGTCCCACTCCTTTACTAATGATGTGAAACAGTTTTATAGCCTACTTTTTTAAAAATAATTTATTTGAGAGGCAGAATTACAGACAGAGAGAGGGAGAGACAGAGAGAGAGGTCTTCCATCCGCTGCTATACACCCCGAACAACCACAACAGCCAGAGCTGGGCCAATCCAAAGCCAGGAGCCAGGAGTTTCTACCAGGTCTTCCACGTGGGTGCAGGGGCCCAAGGACTAGGGCCATCTTTTCCTGCTTTCCCAGGCCACAGCAGAGAGCTGGATTGGAAATGCAACAGCCGGCACTCGCCCTCATGGGCTGCCCATGCAGGAGGAGAATGCTTAACCAACCTACCCCACAGCGCCAGCCCCTAGCCTACTTTTTCAAAATACCAATATTCAATGCAAGGGGATTTGCCAGGTTCCTTCACCAAATAATGACCTCTGACATCATTTACTGGCCGACGCCATGGTGGACATTGCATTGAGCCCCCGCCTACGGTGTCTCCTCACTGCTTTGCTGAATTTCCCCTTGGTGACGATGACCCCTTCATACTTTGTTTCTGCCACTGGAGACAGCAGGGCCCAGCGGCTGTCCCTCTCCCCAGGACAGCTATAAAAAAATGCGAGAAATCTCAAAGGTCTACCTCTTGCCATGGTGCCGCCAAAAAGTCAGGGACGTGCACAACTTGGGGGCTTTCACAGTGGCTACGGCTGTCCTGGAACACACCCAGAGCTCCTGTGAAGGTGAGGCATGGCTCCACAGGCCACTCGTGTTTAAATCTCATATTTTCTCCCTGTACCTCTTCAGGGTACATAATGCATGCTGAGTCAACAGGGATGCTCCCCCCAACAGCTAGTTAATGTGTTCAGTCAAACTGAATTCAAGGCGAGTGGTTCTGACTCCCAGGTCTGATGACTTTCAAAAATACCTGGGTTCAGCCACTCCGCGGCTCAATAGGTTAATCCTCCACCTTGCAGCGCCGGCACCCCAGGTTCTAGCCCCAGTCGGGGCGCTGGATTCTGTCCTGGTTGCCCCTCTTCCAGGCCAGCTCTCTGCTGTGGCCCAGGAGTGCAGTGGAGGATGGCCCAAGTGCTTGGGCCCTGCACCCACATGGGAGACCAGGAGAAGCACCTGGCTCCTGGCTTCAGATCAGCACGCTGCGCCGGCCACAGCGCGCCAGCCGCAGCAGCCATTGGAGGGTGAACCAACGGCAAAGGAAGACTTCTCTGTCTCTCTCTCTCTCTCACTGTCCACTCTGTCAAAAAAAAAAAAAAAAAAAACAACAACAACACCTGGGTTCAGGCTTTGGAGACAGATTCCCATGTGGCCAAGCTGGAAGTGCAGAAGCGGGTTGAAACGGGCTTGGGCTTTGGCGTTTGTGTATGAACAGGAAAATCACTTGACCTTTTGAGACTCAATTCTGTTTTCTGTCAAAGAAGGCGATTAGATATGATCTCTACATTTTTTATTATTATGTGCACAATGATGTGACTTAACCTACCATCCAAATTGTCCAAATTTGTCCAAGAACTAGCTGAAATGAACTGCTTGTCATTTAGCAAAGAGAAAGCAAGATGAGAGAAAGAGACGAGAGAGAGAGAGAGAGAGAGAGAGAATGGCACCACAGCAAAGAGCCCCTCCAGCCATTTCCCACAAATTGGGAGCAAATGTCAATCTTCAACTCGGCCTGCACTCCCCTTCAGAAAGGCGCTCGCTGAACACCTGGCCAGGTCACCAGGCTGGGGGCTGGGAACTCACATTCAAATACCTCATTAATGTGCCTGGAGCATCCCTCCTCTCTTTGCCAGGAATGCGGCCCAACCTGGAGCTTTCTCTCAAAGGGCCTTTAATTAGCGTCGAGTAGAGCCGCCCCGGGTAGAGCCCATAGCAGGCTTCACACGATGCATTACAAGATCGCAGCAGAGTGCGGGCTGGGCAGCAGACTGGGACAGATAAACTCTTCCTGATTTGTTTATGCTGTGAATCAAATGCAGGTGAAGAGGGAGAGAGCAGCCCAAATCGGGGCTGCAGGAGAAATAGACAACACCTGCTTCTCACGCCACATCAGGTCCTCTCTAAACCACGCCAGTACCATGGTGTCCTGGTGAAGGCGAACATGGCCACCCTCTCCAGGTGCCATCTGAACTCATGGTGTTTCTACAGAAGACAGGGTGGGACCCAGGCACCTACACGCTGAAGAAAACTGGTAGGAAAGAAGGCACGCGTGGGAGACCAGGCCAATCCCATCAGCACAGTTCTGTGTAACTGTGCAACTTGAGACCACTTAGCTTACCTCTTTAAACCTCAAGTCTACAACCCTGCAAAATGAAAAAACCATTTCCTTTTCATTAAAAAGCAGCTGTGGGCCGATGCCGCAGCTCACTAGGCTAATCCTCTGCCTTGCGGTGCCGGCACACCGGGTTCTAGTCCCGGTCGGGGAGCCGGATTCTGTCCCGGTTGCCCCTCTTCCAGGCCAGCTCTCTGCTGTGGCCCGGGAGTGCAGTGGAGGATGGCCCAAGTGCTTGGGCCCTGCACCCGCATGGGAGACCAGGATAAGTATCTGGCTCCTGCCATCGGATCAGCGCAGTACGCCGGCCGCGGCGGCCATTGGAGGGTGAATCAATGGACCAATGGCAAAAGGAAGATCTTTCTCTCTGTCTCTCTCTTTCTCACTGTCCGCTCTGCCTGTCAAAAAAAAAAAAAAAAAAAAAAAGCAGCTGTGAGGGCTAGGGAGTGCAGAGCTAAGAGCGCCGAGCACAGATCTCAGAGGAGGTATTTGATAAATGGTAGTCACTGTCAATACCACCACCAGCAGCAGCAGCAGTGTCTCCACCATTGGCACCACCGTGATCTGCATCCACTCCACAGTCAGAAATATCACCACCACCTCATCACTGCCTTCGCGGCAGCACTGCCGCCACCATCGGCATCACCACCAGCAGCATCATGGCCATCGCCAGCAGCAGCCTCACCAGCACCGTGCACGCCCCAGTCAGCGCTGCCCTCACAAGTACCAGCTAACTCCGCAAACATCAGCATCACCAGGAGCATCATGCTAAGACCGCTGCGTGTGCCAAGCTCTGGATACAATGTGTCGGGGAGAAGAACTCAGCCCTGTCCTCAGAGAGCTTGCAGACTGACACGCTTGTAACAGTAACTGTGAGGGAAAAGGTGACTCTCATTTGGGGCAAGTCAGAGCAGCTTTCTGGAGGCAGCTCACTGTTGCACGTGGCCGCACGTGGCGTCACATCCCCACCTGCCCAGCAGTGAGAGGGGCAGAGGACTAGCCCCCCCGTGCTCCCCGTGCTCCCCATGCTCCCAGCCTTCAAGACAGGGATCCAGAGCCAAACATCAGGGCTCCTTCCTCTGAGAAACAGGCCTGGCCTGGACACCCTCGCAGCCCAATCCCAGATTGCACAATTATGACAGGGAGACCTGGAGGTCCCGGGAGTCGCACGTGCCAGGGGCACGGAGTGGAGGAGATTTCCTTTGCGCATGAGTTGCGCATGATCATCAGCTATTCTCTTGTGCCAAGCATCCAAAACAAATGAGGAAACTCAAACCAGGACATCTCTGACCACATA